ACCACCGGTCACGTGACGTCGCCTCCGCGCCGCGCTCACCACCGTCACCAATATGGCTGCCGCCTGCCATTCCGCTACAAAACTCGCGTTGTTGGGTAGTGTGCTTCGTTTTGAATTTTCTTGCCTCTAGTTGTCTTATCACACCCTTTTCTCCATTTGCATATTTCTTCCCACGTAACCAAAGGTAGAATTCGGTAACGATAAAGACCTAACAAATGGAATTGCTAAAATACAACAGAACTCGTCATGATTTAAACTGCTACCTGAATCCTGATGACGTTGAAAGCCTCGACGGCTGGGTTACAGACAATATTATTCAATTTGCGGGTGAAGTTATTGAGACAAATTATGGTTTAAGAAGTCCATCGCGTAAAATATTGGTTTTACACCCCGTTGCCTCAATGTTTGTGCGGAAAAATGCTGATGACATTCTACCTCACTTGAACTGTGACGAGAAGGAGTGGATATTTTGTCCTTTGAACAATGCCTCAGAAAACGAACCAAAAGGCAGTCATTGGTATCTTTTGATAGTATCCCGCGAATTGGGCATGTCTTTTTATTTGGATTCTCTGCTTCCTCTTCACCACAACCTACGCAATTCTTCCGGAGAAATACGGAGAGCTGAGGAAACCAACAATGCTATTTGCGATTTTTGTAGCATACCGAAAGACTTAAGAATTCTTCCGTGCATCAAACAGACGAACTCAATCGACTGTGGGATATACGTGATTTTATACATTTATTTGATCTGTGATTTGCTACTGAAAGGAGATCTCTCATGGGTTAATGTTGGACTGGTTGGCGAAAATTTGACAAGCGTTGCGTTAAGCCTGCGAAAGAGGCTCAAAGGAGAAGTTGACGCTTACTTGAAAAACCGATAAACGATATGGATTACAGAATGGAGCTGTTTCGCGCTTTTATACAATATCTTATTTTGCAGATTTACGAAACCGTCTTTGTGGCCTGTTCACGTGTAACTCATCCATTTGGTGGTTAAAAGAATTGTTTATTGTGTCAATAGCATGGCCTTAGTTTGTCTTCCTAGATGAGGGAGTCAGTGTTACAGTAAATATTACACGTCGAGATCTTATTTCATCCTAAGCTTGGTTGGTAAAATGTCTACGAAGTGAATGCAAGTTTATTCCAAACTGTTGTAGCCTTTATTCTTGGCAAATCTCACTAGAATCGATTATCGTGGTGTCTACGTTACGTTTAGGTGGCCGATTGGTAACAGACCCTACTTGGGAAAATGTTCACAGACTGGTTGAAGTGCTACTCAGCAGCATTTGTAATCAATATTGGATATCGGCCATTGGTGTCCTTCATTCCTGTTTACTAGAGATTTGAATTTGGGCATAAGTGTAGATATTTAGCTGTCCGTGTGGTCTTGGTGATCCAGGCATTGAGCTAAGTTCTGTACATCAGTCAGGGTATGCCCGCCATGAGACGTCTTCAGTAACATGTTTTGTGTGGTCGATTGTGCCGTCACACTGTCGGGACTCTTCTAGTTTTTTTCGTTATTTCCGCCACGTAGCCATCCCATTGCCTGTCTTAGCAGATTCAGTTTATCGTCGACTCGAGTAGTTTTGTTGTATTTGAGCAAATTAATCTCTCAAAGCAATCTAGGTGGGTGTATCACCTGTGGAGATACACTTTTAGATGGGTGTTCGGACCAAGTCGTTGTAGTTGTAGCAACTCTACATTTTGTGCATTTATAAAAAAAAGTCATTGGTTCGTGGTGGATTCCTTTACGAACTATCAGGACACACCAACTTCTTATTTTCGTCTAATTTTATGCCTTTTATTATCCCCGTATTTTGTTGTAAAGCTGGTCTTTTTTGGCAAATTGCTAGAAAAGCTTTTAGTAAATTGGTGGAGTGATCCACGTGCACAGAATCTTGGGTTTAGACGTGCTGCTGGTAGCCATTCACATGGTTATGTGGGCATGTATTTTTACTTACGACTACAAACAGTTGTATTAATTTGATTAAGGAATATGGACACGAACCCGGCGCAATATCACCCCTTGCTGTTTTGGCATCAGGATAAAGACAAGGCCTTCATTACAGTAAAACTCACGGATGTTGAAGTAAACGAGTGTTTTTCGCAAAATCATGCTTTACATAGGGTCCGCGAATGCAAATTGGCAATGCCTCGGTTGCCTTCAAAGCCCGCGGAATGGGCGCAAACGGGTTGCAGGAGTACTCCTTCCAATTGGATCTATACCAACCGGTCGATGACGAGGTAACTTGGAACTCCTTACTTGGTTTGCTCACACTTTCCCAAAAGTACTTTCAGCGTTAGAGGGATGGTATTGTGTTTGCTTCCTTTCGCAAGCCCTGTACTAAGAGCTTATATTGTCTCGGCTAACTTATTGTCTCAATTTTAACAAAAGCCTCTATTTTAAAGCAGTGATTTTTCGCGTAAGAGTGAATCTTTTTCATGGCCAATGTGAGTTCAGGTATTTTATTATCAGATCCGGTTTAAATATGCCTGTCGGCGTCGTTCGTGTAGTTGATGAAATATTGTTAGCACGCAGCGAGTGAATGGAATGTTATAAAATCAACTCTTTCTTGTACGTTACGTGGAATTGATTGAAGTCAGCCTGAATTACTACTATTTGTCGGGTTTTTCTCTGCATACACATGACGTAGAGTTCTCGGAGAGGAGGTTAGTAGAACCCAGACAAACGGAATACCAGTACCGTTCTATTTTTTTTATATTCCTAAGTCCGTAGGCTTATGCTTTATCGTTATTACGTTGAAAGACGATAGCTGTACGAGCAGTGTGTCGCAGTTGAGCTCTTATCACCAACGTGTGTGCAACTGTGAGGTCAAAATCTGTACTAGTCTTGCCTGCTAATGCATGTTGGCAATCTCGTGTAAGCGCTATGCGCACGCATCCCTTCGACACGCTTCCAGTTTCCAGATGATTTCATATTCCCGATACGCGGCTCCACCGACAACTTGATTCCACTTTTAATTTCTTGTCTTGGTGTGTGCGCCTTTGCACACCAAACACTTGGGTCTTGAATCTGGCACCTGAGACTGCTTCTCAATTGCCGTAATTATTTGCCACAAAGACGCGTGCAGAAATTGCAATTTAGCACGAACGAACACCCAACATAAGTAGAGAGAGTACATGTAGTTGTGGGCAGTTTAATAGCCTAAGTTAGTGGAAGACTGGACAGGCTAAATTTCTGGGAATTTTCAGGCAATGAACGCGAGGACTTGTGGAAGTATCAAAATGTCGCGATATGCGACCAGCTCACAGGAGCGGATTGGTGTTCGGGAAGAGACTACGTTGTTTGAGAGTGCCTGCGGGCTAACCTGTTGATGACAATGAACGGTTTGGTTTATTGAACTACGCTTCCATTCGAAAAAAAGGCATCAGAAACATTTACGGGCACAACACCTGGATCGCTTTCTAGGCATGCTCTCTCGAACATCACCAATTTTCGAAATCTGGTTCCTTTCAAATGCTGTTTTGGCTTTGTGGAAGGGTGGTACTTCCGTTTGGTCAAACTCAGGACTAAGACGGGTGTGTAACAAGTCCCCGCTGAAAGCCGCCTAATTCAGTTCTAACAACTCACTGGATTAGTATATTTATTTTCGTGACGTCAGACGAGGTTGCGCCGTGCACCTTGCCTTTCTTCTGTCGTTCCGGTCAAAGCACTAGTGTCTGCTTTCTTTCCTTCTAGGTAGTCACCGTGAATGACTACTTCACTGTCTTAGAGAATTGTGGGGTCATCGGACCTCCCCGTTTTAATCCTGTTTCGTTTTCTCTTATCGGCTTAAGTTGTAGCGGTTAATATCGTTTTTTTTCTGACAGAATCGCTAATGAGCCACAGTCTGTGTGTGGGTCTACCCAGACACGGTTGTTTGGTGTCAATAAGTTTTGGTCGAGTGCTTGCTCGTGGATTGATATGTGAGCAGAAGTGTCATTTATCGGAACTACTTAGACCCCACCTTCGGGAAAGTGCCCATTTCAACCATCAGAATCCGGGTACTTGTTTCTGCACGTTCTCTCCTTTGCAACAAGACTTACTGCATTTTCGTGTGCTTTTGACTTATCGCTTCCATTTATGTCAGTAGTATGCTGGAGGAAAGCTATTGCTTTTAGTGCAATGTGGAATTATTCCAGATATCAGGTATTAGGAAATGCTAATTGTGTATGTGTGTGTGTGTTTAAAATTATAAACAGTGACACACACACCGCGACTTAATACCGTTAATCCGTTTCTTATTCTAATCTGCTTTGCGCCTATCTGAGCCTTAATTCTAGTCACACAGACATAGCACCTGACACCAACCACACGAATAACTGCTGTCTGTTTCCGCCTCTGCAGGAGTCTGACTTCAGGGTGACCGATACGAGCGTGAACATTGTGCTGGTGAAGCGCAATTCGGCGGTTTGGCCCCGTTTGACCGAGTCGAAAGACCGTTTGCCGTGGCTACGGACGGACTTTGATCGACTCTCCGAGGATGTCCTGAAGGCGATGTTCGCTGGCGACGGAGACGACGCCTGGGAGAGCGACGCAGACGCCGATGACTCGTCGCCCAAAACCAGCGTCAACTTCGTTCGTCCTTCTGCGGAAGAGCTTGTGGGTCCACTTTTCACGGGCTCACCACCCTCCTATGGCATGTAAACAGGGGTCAATGGGCAAGACCTTCTAGAGGTCCCATGCTAGCTAATTGGTGTTTCGGTGTCGTCCACAGGGTATTTTGCGATTTACGTCAAATTAAGACTGCCCTGTCAAACGTGTCACTCGTTTGAAGAGTCGTGCAACCACTAACTGTTCTAGAAGGATTGTCGGCACTACGTAAGCCGAGATCTAAGGTATCACGAGGCCGAAACGAAGCCTTTATTGCACTGTCGTATGTTGATCCATGCAAATCAACTCAGCTGCTCGGCGTCGTGGTCTTGTTTGTCAAGATTGCCGTTTTGATTTGCAAAAGTAGCTAGCTTCCAAAGTCAAGGTCGACAGATGAACGCTTGAATTTCGTCTGCGGTTCCATAGAACGCATCAAATTGCGTCGTTGGAAACTTCTATCGAAAAATCAAATACTCAGGTTATCATATTTACTTTGATTTTGCTAGTAGGTCGTATAATTTTTGTATCTCCATTCGCGGATCTTGAGTGGTTAGTCGTTGTTTGTTCTTCCATAATGGAAAACCCTATTTTGAGCGACACTGTTCAACCTTCTGGATGTCTTTTTTGATATCGAAAGACAATGTCTGCGGCAATGTCTTCGGAAACAACCTTTTTGGGTATTGAAATTCTATATTTTAAGTACTGGTCCTCATGTTCTGCTCCATTTCGTTGTCACAGCGGAAGAGAAATATGCAACGAGTCGAGGAAATTGCAAGGGAACAGTACAATGAATTTTTGAACCGTAAGTTTTTACACATGTCAACACCACCACCGACGCACATTTCCTGGCCACTAATTGGCTAAAAACTGGCACTCATGCACATCCACCGCATTACGACCCGCTTTCTAACCCATTCGTGTAAATTAAAGTTGTAAGTCATTGAAATGTGGTGTAATCGATGTGCAAAAAGTGGGTGTCAATTCAAAATAGCCACCAGCCCGACGTAAATTTACACACAATGCATTAAAACAACTCAATTACTCGGTCCAATCAAGAAATTTGCACCGTGGAAAGCCACTGGAAATAATTCAGTGCCAAGTCGATTTGTCCCAAAATCAGTAGATATGTGTGTGTGTGTGAGTTGAACTTTAGTGTTACAATCTTACTTTCCACACCTTCCTTCCTTCCTTATTGTCGATGAGCCTCTCTGGAGGAGTTTTCGTCTGAATTCAAGTGTTCAGAGAACATTGAAACGAAGTTGGGACTTAACTGTCAATGACACACAGATGTTGGTCATCAAATACTCTCCAAACTCTAACCGATAGTGCATGGTTATTTACTACTTGCGTGATTGCTGAACTATGTATTGGAGATATAAATTTCAGTAAAGAAATACGTATATGATCTAGCAAATTACTCGTGTCTTGATGCCATAATGTGGGAGTGTTCTGGACTATTGATGGGGAAATACACAGGCTACTCATTAAATTATTCGTTTTTTTTCTTATGCAAACGGGATTCCATACAGTTGATGTACTTCGAACCGTTAAAGCCGTCATTGTACAATTTGAAAGTGGGTAGTTCGCTATGCCTAATTACCATCCAACCTGTAGAATTTACAATGCCCAAATGCACATGTCTATTTATCCATCTTCTTCGAATGTTTTCGATCAAACGCAATGCAATGGGACAGTCTACAAAGCTAATTTGGCTAGCTTCGGCTCCTCTGGATAAATAAGGCTTATGGTGTCCGAGCGTTGCCTAAAACCCATTCCTTGGAGCATTTGCTGATCTGTTAGCCCACTTAATTGAACCAGCTACTACTATTTTCCTTATCCGTTTGGTTTTTCCCATGGGTTATGTCGTGAAAACACCCAAAGACCTACCTATGTAGTTCCTTCGCATAAGACTACAAATGTGGACGGTTCGTTCGCGGCTGTATGCATTGTAGTCGTGATAAATAAGTGTACAAGTTGTTGATAAGCTTAAACAACAACCGTAACTTCTTTATTCCCACATCGTTTGACAAGAATTTAAATTGTTACATTGAAATCGTCCAAATTTACCGCTATGTCAGAATCATAATTTGCCCTAATTCCGTTTGATTTCCAACTCCGTCTTCTTGAAATGTCTGATTCCCGATCTTCGGAGAGCCTCTCTCGATTCAGTTCACGTTCAGAGCTCGACATTAACCGATCCTCTGTAAACTTACGACTTGTCACCTCGTAAAACTACTCTATTACCGCGTCGGTAAAGTAGTTGAGCTGTGCACTATCTCTGCGTCGCTTCTCTTTCATTGTCGGGCAATGTCAACGTTGGTCGTTGGCACTGGTGTGGTTCCAGAACCCTACCGGGAGCTGCCACACGCTCATTTAGATTTCCTGTGTTTTGCATGTTCGTGACGATGTAACGCAACGCTCCAAGGGGTCTTAAACGACTGGAAAGAGGCCTGGTTTCACAGTCGCAGCATCATCTTCGTTGTTTATCTGGTGTCCAAAACGGCAAGAGGGGCCGCTTTTAAGAAAGCATGCATTAAATGTCACTAAAATCTCAGAATATTTTAGCTACCGGTCTTCGTTAGAAAAAAACAGGATTATTCGTGAATAATTTCCACTACTAACTCCCTGCCCCCTCTATTTACCAAATGGAGTCTGTGTTTTAGGGTAATACGTAAAGTCCCGTAATAGTCGCTGGCATTTTTAGAAAAAAACCGATATGACACAATGCTGAATTCTACATGTGGTGAGCAGTTGTCTTTCGTAAACCCACCCTGTGGCCATGGATGCAGCTTCGTATTTTTTTTGATAGTAGGATACGCAAAACGGTCATTCGCGTTTACCGGAGCTTCTGACTTAATCCCAACACTTGGCGTCTCGAGGCCCGCTACGGGCATTAGGATTACTTTTTTTTCTAAATCACGTGGCAAACTGGTTGCATTTGCTGTCTCCCACGCATCAGCAGTTACGACCTTGGTCAACACCGCTAGGGTCTCAGGCTACCCTAATTTCTATTACCCCCTGAAGATTCGAAGTCGGCGTTTTCGCCTACGGGACTATTATGCGTTGGGTGGCAAATTTTTGAGTCTTTGTCTTCTTGGCGCGATTCACGTTTGATCCTGGTTTTTTTTTCTCGTGCCTTAGGAACTGTCGGTGGTTTCTTCTGAACTTACAATTAAACATAATTTTGGTAAAGCACTTTAGAATCGAATTAAAACAAATTCTTTGTTTTGTTTGGAAGTTTTTTGATTTCTATTTCACCACAAGATATTCGTGAGTGCTTTATTTCTTGAAAAGTCCATAGAAATGGTTGGTTTAGAATTGCCTCGAAGTCATGCATTGTCCTTCCTTCGTGTGTGCTTAGACGTGGACACGCAGTCGTGATCCGATCAACATTCTCATGGGTCTGTTGTATGAACGATTGGTAAAAAAAGGAGGCATTTGACGCACAATTGAGGATGCCGGTCACCATTACCCATCCCATTGGTTCTTGTCATGCACTTTATTCAATCTTTTCCCATATTTCTCGTATGTTCTTATGTTCCCTTGTTTAGCATTAAACCGACACGTATCGTGTGCATTTTAAAAGTACCGTTGCCTCGTTTTCCTTGATCCCACGCTCGGATCGTAAAATCTGGCAAATTCAAGATAATATCGGCGCGTTTCAGTTGAAGAGTCGGTTTGGCACAGTGAATGTAAATCGATGAGACACGGTGAACCACTGTTGTTTTTCATTTTCAGCAGCCCATCACTGACCCTGTGAATGACAGTCTTTTGTAAACTCACTCCCACGGCCCCTCAAATGCACTTTTACGTCTGACTTAGCTTGTTATTGCGCTCCTGAATAAAGGGGAACTAACTTGTTATCAAACTAAAACTCGCGGTAAATGGGCCCGCGAGACGCGCAAACAGAAACACACTTCGATAAACACCCTTCATTCCAATGTTGTTTTTCTTGCAGTGATAAAGAATCCACTGGTTTTCTACCTGCTAATCTTCAATATTTTCCAGTGGGCCGGGTACCTGTACGTGTTCGGGGTGCTCGTCACGACGTGGTGGTCAGAAGGCGAGGGTATGTGGTTTACTTTCGCAGTGAGTAAGCGACTGAATGTTTTTTTCCTGTCATCTGGGGATTCCAGGGTTCAGACAAACGCGACCTTTCTTGAACGAGGTGCCTGAGAGACACTCTCCGTTCCATACGTTTGGTGCAGAGCGTTTTAGCGATGTGTGCGAGGCTTTGAAGAGTTAGAAATTGGAATTTGTCACATCAAGTTTGTCTGGCGTTGGGCGGTCCAAAGCGCCTCATTTGCAACCCGTGCAAGGGAATGGAGCTGAGGTTTCGATGTTTTAATGTCAATTCCCCCGTCCGCCACCTTAACTTCTGGTCAACATTCTTGTGAAAAACCCAGCACCCTCTGTGCTAAAGCCACTTCGTTGTCGTATCCAAGAGCCAAAAACCGCTACCTCGGCGTGATGGTTGCTCTTCATCACTGGAGACCTTATCCGAGCACCGTAGCGGTTCGTTTACTGAATACGTCGCGTTAAATGCCTCCCTGGTTCTCAACCTATTAGGTGGTGTAATGTGTATCGAGGATATTCAGCGACAAGTTATAGTGGATCGTAAGGATGGTGCGTCGCCTGTGGGAGGGATGTCCAACTTATTGAAATTTCTCATTCATCTTTTGTGCCGTCATGAGACGAAGTATTTCATCTGCAATGGAAAGCACCGCACAGTTAACACCGCTGTTGATGGCACTGTCGAAGTTATGCGAATGTGGTCTTGAGCCACACCGAAACCGGTGCAATCAAATCGGTCCATTTACGCTACACTGATATCCGCGAAAACGAAAGGCCAGACATAGCCAACCTACAAGCCCTTACTAGACGACAGCTCAGCCAAGCTGTGTTAGTCGCGCCTCTGCGCGTAAAATACGTGTCTGACTAGCTGCGGGTTTCGATCAGTACAGCCTGGGCCAATCTGTAAAGTTTCAAACGGGTGGACTGGGACGCGACGACCGGGTTAGTAGACGTGAATCAGCACGAATCACCGCAGCTTCCTTATTTAAGCAAACGATTGTTGCATTTTCAGTTGGGAAATTGAATCTTCGAGATGGTTCCCACTGACGTGTTTCGGAGGTCATAGACATAAAGGTGCTTGTGGATTAAGCAAGACAGGCTGTGCTAGTGAATTTATTCACTATTCCCTCTACATGTTTTTGAGGATCGTTCGTTGATGCTTCTTTTCAGCGATGAAATCTCGTGCCTTCGACCTCGTCGCTGACCGCTTGATTGTTGTGCAGGTGGCTGCGTTCTTGGAAATTGCTCACGTCCTCCTTGGTTGGGTTAAAGGCGGCATTTTGCCGAAAATTATGCAGGTGAGCTCAGACCTCTGCCCCCCACACGACGGTTTTTTTGCCTCGTGGTCGATGGCAGGCTGTGAAATTCAGGCAAATTACCAACTCACGTGCACTAAGTAGATTAATTTAATGCTCGTGAGTAACAAAATGCACTGTCTAATGCAATCACGCAAATGCCCTGTAATGCTGCCTGTGAATTCTCATATCCATTACTATCCTTATTCCACCTATAATTAAATCGATCCCAGTTACGTGCACATTGCGCCGAAAAGTAGCAACTTCTGTGTGAGTTTTTGAAGGCTCTTAACGCGCTGTTCAGCCGTTTTTCGTGTAGACCCACGAGAACGGTTATTTGGCCAGACGCTCTGCGTCGATTGGCTGTCGTTGTTGAGCCAATGCGAATCCCTGCTGCACGTGCTAAATTCAACAAACAAAATATACTACTTACCGCATTAAAGCCCTCTTGATGACAAGTTGTTCAAACTACCTGTCACTGTACTCAACCTAGGCTAGGGACAATTCGGTGGCGGCCATGGTCTGTCCATGGTGCTGTTATTTTTGTGTAGCCTTTCTGTGGTGAACGATGTGGGGGTCATGAGTAAGCTTGGAGTCGGGGGAGTAGGTGGGATTACCGCGGACTTGTTAATGAAACCACTGGTATTTGTATATCCTGCCGCATGGGTGAGCATCATTATTGTTGCAGATGTTATTTGCAGGTGTGCGGACGTAATATAGTGTTGTTCGCTGTGCTTCTGCCTCACAAAGAACTACAAGAAGATTCTGCAGTTCTGACGTTATTTATCGCCTGGAGCTTGATCGAAGTCGTCAGGTATTCGTGCTTTCATTTTACTGGTGTTTAGTCTTGTACATACTTTTTGTTGGTAAAAAAGGAGCACAACGCTTTGTTGTGGGCCCCAGCATGTGGTCTTGAACCACGCCGGGGCCACGGAATTAACCCTGGCCCGATTACGCTTGCCTGATACCCGCGATGAAGGAAAAAGGCCGGAGAGGACGGACACAAGCGTCTACTTCAGAGGTCAACCACGTTGGTGTCGTTGTGTCGTGTGTGGTGTTTGCGCGTGTGTATTTATAGCTCGAATGTGTGAGTCATACATGCGCTAACATCGAGACATGGGTGTGAGGATGCTCAAAGATGAATATTCGTGCGAATGAGGGGTGGGGAGTTGAGGCGTCGAGCGGTTGGCGACATGCTGCGACAAGGGGAACCCTGTGTAGGAGGTGGAGCGACCGGATTAAGAGGTGTGAATAAACAGGATTCACGACAGCGTCTTGAATTTTGTGCAAGGTATTTCCACTCGCATCATCCCACTCTCCTGTGGTGACGCACCAGTGCGGGCACGAGCTTGTTCCAATTTCATCCAAATTGGCTTGAGGTTCGTGGGCGTATTGACTTGCCACAGAGGAGTTTACCTTCGTAACGTTTAAGACAACATAACTAGTGGGAGTTCGCTGACGCGTCAGCGCGTGGGCGTTAAATGTGATGCATGAAAACATCCAGGAGTTTGAGGCCCTAATACTGACCAATCTCTTCGCTTTCACTCGACCTTGGCAAATGCGAGCCCAAGATTCTGTTCCCCAGTGGATCGAATCACCCCCTATTTCACTTCATCAGATCCTCATATCCCATTCGGGGATCTCCTCTTCTTGTAAAGCTAGCTTGCGTGTGCAGGAGTGGTATCAACTACGTGTCCTACGCCGTCTTAAGACCTATCACCTGTGCGTCGACAGCAAATTCAGACTCGGTTTCGAAAAAAAAGGCATCGGCTCACTTGTGGTGGTCGTTACTACGTGTGCCATGAGCTTAGCTGCGGTTCTTTGCCTTTACAGGTACCCCTATTATGCCCTGCGCCTCTTCGACGAGGAAATCGGGCTTATTTCGTACTTAAGGTACACCCTGTGGATTCCCCTCTATCCGCTTGGCTTCATGTGTGAGGGTAAGTGCGTCTCGACACCCGCCCCATCAGCACCTCGACATTTCTGAAGTGTAACTAAACTCACAAGTTGATATCGGAGTGTTAAGGAAAAAGAAATTACAACAATTTTATGCACAAGAGATTGTTGTATCCCGACCAGGTGGTAATCTCTGCTTTAACGCTGCCAGGTAATGTCGAAACTAGGAGAGGCTTGGCCTTTTTCGTTATTGGCCTGCAACACCCAACAGAATGCTCCATCATTACCAGACCGCTGTTAACCTCGCTTTGGGTTTATCGGTGCTTCTTCAGAGCTATATTTTTCTTCATCCGATATCATATGGCGTCAAATGCGTTGTTTAATGGGTGATTGATAGTCTGAGCTCAGTTTCGTTGGATGGTTTTTAATCGGCATATTATTAATTGACAGTTATCTAAATTACCTTGGTTTAAGTTAATTTGTGTGCAGGGGGAATTTGCAAAATGGAAAAAATGCCACTCTTTCGTCGTGCTGTGTTATATGAGCATTGGGAATGGGTGAGTGTTGGGACGATAAAAAAAGACATTCAGTGCGTTGATTTGGATCGCGCTCTTGCTCTTGGCTCAGGCAAAAGTGGTTTAGATGTTTTTGGAAGTAGTGAATTCATTCTAAACGCTAAACTTCCTTCTGGCCGATTTTCCGGCATTGATAATGGCTTTATCTGTGGTTTAGTGAATCCACGGATTATAATGGGGGTGATTGTTGAAGGGCCAGATGTTGGCATTTCGACTGCAATTTGGATAAACTCAGAAACTCGGTATATGGGCACAGAGGCGTGCTTCCACAGCCGCCTCTCTTCTCACCCATCACCACAGCGAACCTTTCTTGGATCAAGTTGCAGCTGTAGATTAAAAAAAAGTGGTTTATTTGTATGAGCATGGTAAGAAAAGGAATCTGGAATCGTGGTAGTGAAAGAGCAGCATCAAAGGAGCATGCTAATTTTCTCCATCCAGGGAAAGTGCAGGAGAATGGATCTGTACGAGCAGCTTCCACGTTGCCAAACAGTAGCTGTGGACACGTACTGTGAGTAGCTCATCTAACTCAGTGTTGAAATCCAATCAAACCGTCCACAATTGACCAATCGGGAAAGCCTAGTCTTTCACCACGACAGTGCTGGACCACGTGCGGCTCAACAGACAACTAAAAAAAGTTATGGGACTGCCTCAGGACCCACCACCTTCCTCCGACCTTGCCTCTTCGTGTGTCTCATTCCCTGCAAAGTACTTCGTAATCGGAAATATGGAGGAGAACAGTAGATACATTAAGTACTAGTATTCACGAAAGCGTGTTGATATAAATTTGGTTTGAAATCTGGTACTAATGTTTGCATTCACTCAATTTTATTGCTATTCACAATTGGTGCGTTCATTTGAAAAGCGTTAAAAACCACATTGACGGGTACCTCCGTTTTTTTTACATATGTGTGTTTTTTCGTCATTGTTACTCACTTGCGCATACAAATGCAATGCAGGGTAAAGTAACGATTGCCTAGTGCTTCTTCCTGTTAACATCCTCGCAGCAGATGTGATCTCTCCGACCTTACCTAATATAGCCGTTTTAGGGTAATCGTTCTGTTTGTTTTAAGTCCCAAGGTTAACCAAGTGGTGCGACAATTAGAAATAATCATAATAATGACAATTTGCATGAATGCTCCGAAAAACTCCGAAAAAAACAAGGCTCCCTGATGTCGCCTTTCCAGCCCCCCCCCGCCCGTGGTGTGGGAAGCTGGCAGGTCATAGTTTATTGCCGTCCAAATCACGAAGCGCGTCGACTGCTCACATTTGCCACCCCTGGTTTGCTAGCACGTCACTTAATAGTAGTTTGTGGGCCAAGTGAATCCTTCCTCAGGAACCCAAGGTGTCATAGCAAAGCCACATTTTCTGATTACTGCTCTCATGTAGGCCCCTAACCGACTTAGCATGGGGTTTTCCCGCTGCCACAATCTAACCTCGAGTTGTTTGAGCCGAAGCAAGTCTGAGTGATTGATTTCATTAAAGCTTTTTGCGCACATGATGGAGAAAACAGAGGCGAAATTACCAGGTGATTCTTGGTAATCGTGTCAACGCGGGTGGATACTTGTTGGCTTCGCAAAACGATCTTTAAATCTTATTAATGTTTGGAAGTAAATTCTGGCAGTTGGATTTTTTGTGAACAGGTCATTTGTCGTGATTGTTGTGTGGATAATCCTCTTTTACCTATCGCACGTGCTCTGTGCCACCACACTTTCCTTACATGTGAAAAGTGCAGTGCACATAATTACTGTTTTTTTTTAATTCAAATGCTTTTCATGCTTGGGTTAATCATGGAGAAGGCGAAAATGCACTGTCTCCTGAATTTCGGATCTAAGTGTTCATGAAACATGCTAAATCATAGTCTCTATAAAACCTTCTTTCTCAATTACTCCGCCAACCTAAAATGACTTGCCAAAATTAAAAGCCCTTATGTCTATGGTGGTAATCAAGTTTGGCACACCTAAACTTGTTGTTCTCTATAACTTTTGATGTACCTGTCGCAATTTCGTGGGCAGAGATTGGAATAGGCAGTCCGTGCCACTTTTCATGAATGTACATTTTGGTCAAATGTGACGGGTTTGTGCTTATGGCGGATTACTTACCTTAAATGGTAAAACATTTATGGGTTATTTGCTTTCGTTTTGTTTTTAGGCAAGCTCATTATCCTCTCCATGCCACTTTTGGAGATGTCGCGGAAGTTTTGCCTAGACATGCCAAATTGGGCAAACGTATCGTTTGATTTCCCCATCTTCCTTCATGTCTATGTCCTTCTAATGCTGCCTGGTGAGTTTACCTGTTATCAATGGATTCAAGGGACTGGCGATCTAAAGTTCCATGCTTTTGCCATCAGTAGTCACAACTGGCTCATGTACTCATCTTTAACTGGTGTATCCTAGATTTCAACAGTCTCGTGTGGTCCGTCATCGATGTTTTAGGTCGTCAAAAATGCTCTTTCATTTTCTCCTTTGGTCCTCTTTAAGGTGGTAGTAACCTTTTCTGCGGCTATGCACAACTCTGTGTTGTGTTGATCACATTCACTTAGAACGTAAATAGTCCTTCAAAATGACAACGGCTCCTAAGTCGGGAATGTGTTGCATGTTATTACATGGCGGGCGCTGCTTGCTTGTGGCCAATGACCATCGCAGGGTTGTCAATGTGGAAACACCAAGCTTGGCTTGAAATCCCCAAGGGGAGATAAGAAGTCACCACGGGAATTATTTCGCTTCTCAGAGAATTCCTTAAAGGAGGATGTGCGTGCGTGTTCTCTGAGGACTCTAGTCAACAACTTGAAAACAAGCGACTTGAGAAGTTGATTTTGATTTGGTGTCTTGATTATCGCGTTTTGGTGTATTCAAAATTGCGAGGCGACAATATTATTTTTCCGTTTGCTCTAGCGCCAAGGCGTTCACGTTCCAAATTCAAGCAACTTCCAATTCTAGGATTCTTACCGTCTGCTTTTGTTGTAGGATTCTTCATTCTGATGCAGCACATGTACTTGCAGCGCCGGAGGAAAATGATGTCCACTGTGGGCACCCGAGCTGGTCGTTTTAAACCATCGCCTCGCTGAGCTACCGACTTGTCAGGCATTCCCTTTCTTTGTTCTCTTTTCTCAAAAATAAATACAATTTCAACCACAGAAGCACCTCAAATGCCGTAGTTGTTTTAAACAGCAAATGACTCTAATGGTAGGGAATTTGTTTGATGCAATTTTCGGCCATTAGATCGTTTTCAACCCTGCAAAAATGATGCCGACTTGAAAGAACCCCCATTACAAGGCAGCTGCTGGCGAATGAGTCATGCCACATTCTTTTAGGCACCGTGAATAAGCAGTCGTTTTCTCATCTCTGCTACTACTAATTACTCGAATGACTACTTATTTCAGCGAAATCACTCAGAGTGAACCCGGGGTCCCCTCCTCTCCATTTGATCCTCGCTTAAAGTTGCAATCGCGGATCCATTTTACCTGTAGTCGATGTCGCTAGTCCATGGCGCCGCTAGTGCTTAATCCGCTGAAATTCCTGCCACGTCATTTGTGTTGACTTCGTTGGTGGGCACCACGTCCAGAATTACGGCTTTACAGCAGCTGCAACTACTTCAGTCACTTAGGCGATACCCACAACACGATAACCGTTGGCGGCTGCGTATTCGACTTTCATATGTAATTGATCGTGCGCTCTACTCCGACGCAGATACGCCTTACGGCCTCGAATAGTGATAAATTAGACCTAAATGAATCTAATGTTTAGTGCTACGCTTTATTTGACTTTCAAGGACCAGTGATCAGATGACTGAACGAGCTATGCGAATTCTCGGTGGCATCAAGGCAACCCAAAGTAAAAAGCTTAAAGATTGAACAAGGCCCCATGTCTATGCCTTCATGCTGCCGTTTATTCGGTCCGGATGTGCCAATCGTGATGAAATAAACATGAAGGTAAATGTGTTGGGTGGGTTGTCAAGTCAACGGTAAATTTCGTATGTGGGACCATCATTCCAAATGAGGCCAACGCCTTTGGTTGATCAGATGGCACATTTTATCCTCTAATTTTTTTTGTCTGCGGAGAAAAGGCGTGAAGCAATACGGCAATGTAGTTTTTCTTAAAAAAACGTCTCAAAATAAGCCATTTGGTGAGGAAAGTTTGGTTTTAAGAGATGCAGCTCGAAGTCCCTAAGCAAAAAATGAGACTGAAATTACGGGATCCCAGGAAAGAGTCAATTTTTGCGTGAAAAGACACTTGATCGCTGAATGTGAAGTGAATTCAGGATGATCGATCCAAATCAATTTCGCTCGTGCCTGGTAAGAGCATTTGTGATCGACTTGAATATACGTAAAGCATTTTCTGTGAACAATCGTGAGTGAAGCCTATTCACGATTTGATGGAATGTTATCGATCGTCGATGACAGTAGACGGCTAATTTTCAATCGCGCACTCTGACGTAAAAAGACTTGGGTGGTCTAATATAAATGAGCTGTAGCATTCTCTGTCGCCTGTTTAGCCTCTCTTCCCTGATTGTTGCGGTTGTTAACTGATATGGCTGTAAATGGCCAGAGAAAGGCATTTTAAAGTCATTTTATAAATTTCAGACACCACGCATGTGATTTAAAATACATTTTAATTAAACAGACATTTAAAAGGCTTTAATTGCGCTTATTCAGCCTACTACAATTCGCAGTTGAAAAAAAAATTGTTGGAAGAATAACACTGTTGCATACTTGATTAACTGTCACTTTGGGGCTTTGTGATGGGGATTCTATAGCTTAGCTCTGCGTTTAAGTGTCGCACCGTTGAATGAAAATTGGCATAATTTGCAATCATACAAATTAAACAAATTTCCCCAATTACCACAATAATGCACCTTAATCGAATCTTGTCGGAGGTCCCAAAGTGAAAGAAAGGGGAAGGTTTCAAGGGTGCTCGGAAGATGCCGATAAATTGCACAATGTGTGAATTTCTGTGTGAGGCAAGTTATTTAAGTTTCGAATTAACCATGATTAATCGGGCAAGACAAGGTGTGAGGAATCAAAAGAAAACAATTTCACCAGACGAATATGGCGGAATTACAGTCATCGGACTGTTATTTCGAGTAGATTTACTCGGTGACCGCTGTGGCCATTGCAGGCGATAACTCTGCACTGGTTTGCTAACCACCAGTCCAATAATTTCAAGAATTAAGTTACCATACAGCAACTAGAATAAGAAACTTCGAATCAAGACCATCATTTTTGGCCTTCGTTTGGGATTTCGTAAATAGAGTACACGGGAACGCACAAAGTCCACTCTGTTTGGTTTTTATTTTCACTGTGTATTTGCCTGAGTAATGATTCCGGGGTTGGTTTGGGACTTCATTTAGATGACTCTTGAGTTTGACACTAATGGTAAGCGCTTTACGAGCACACTGGCACAACAGCAGGAGAGGTAAAACGCCGAGCGAGACTGATTCGCACTCCCTATGTCAAAAACTAGTTTCACAAAAATCAATGCTAACAAACCTTTCACGTTTACTCCTTCGTGCCAAACTAAAACCATCCACTACAAGATGTTTTCAACAAATGCAAGAGTAATGCTCAAATTTTTGTTTTCAAAGAAACACGACATACAGCAGATAAATCATGCTAATGCCGCGTTCTTGATACTTCGATGGGATTGTAGCAGTGAACCGCTTCACAACCGCTTGTGCCAAGGTTCAGAAAGAGGCGACGGCAGGCCCCGCCGCACAGTCAGGGATCGGGCAGCCCACTCTGTCGTTGTGTAAACAAGGCGATGCATCAAAATCCAATGTGCACCTAGCACTTGGTGAGTCAAAGTCAGTGCATCCAGATCAAAGTGTGCGATGCTGAACTGGAGTTGTTGGGGGCCCGGCATGTTGTCTTAAACCACGCCGAGGCCACTGCGTTGATCTGCCCCCAGTTACCCTAGCCTAAGTGCCCGCGAAGATGACAAGGCATGACCGTTTACTAGACAACTTAACCTGGGCTGAGACGACCGGCTTATTGGACATGACTCAACACTATTCATTACAGCTCTCCCCCTTAACCAACGGAATGGACGAACCTTTTCTTTCCCATAGGATTTCTGAAAGATAGGTCGTAAGTATGGTGTGGACGATTTGAGGCCTTAGAAATGAGTGAACACTAGCAATTAAGCGAGACGAGTAGTCTTCGCCGGATGGTGAATGAAGGGTTTTGGGCCATGGTGCGTTGCCGGAAGACGTTCGGGATGCTTTTGCCGCTGCAGATACAACCTTTTCTTCCAGCGGGTTATCCGTAAGGTTGGTCGTAAGACAGGTGGAGCGTGACGTCTGAGCGTTGGGGTCAGACAGTTGAGACTTTTCGACTTAGTTGAGAATCTAGACCTGCCAGGCAAACGTATTGAGGTCGTGGCAAGAGATGCGGTCACAATAAGAAGAACGGGAATCGAGTGACGTGGTTAGGATGGTTGGTTGTCGATGGGTGGTGTTGGGAATCTATGTGCATCGTCAGGAAATTAGGCAGCGTTCGGAGATTTGAGGTCGTCTGGAGGTTATTGGGGCCAGAGATAATACCTGGTTGAGCTAGTCGAGAATAGAGTATTGAATCCAGTCTGGTAGAGGTGGATGTAGAGTGAAAAGACGGAATTCAGGTCTAATAGTAACGATTACATGCTGATCTTCGAGGGAGGGCAGAATGGCTTGAGAGGTGACTTTATCAGGACGTGAAATGGACTGATCAAGCCGCTTAAGTCGTACCGGAAAATCACCACTTGGCAGGTCGCAAAGGTTGACAAGCGGTCAAAGTCAGGGTTAACAATTGTTGAGGGCCCGGCATGTTACCTAGAACCACGACAAGGGGCCAGTGCGCCAATCTAGGCCGATTACGCTACCCTGAGTACGCAATAAGATGAAGAAGACTGACGAGGACGAGGTATAACCTTTTACTAGACAGCCCAACCTAGTTTTGTGTGTTTATTAATACAGTTGAATGGACTAGTAAAAATACAAGCGTCTGAAGGTCACATGAGTAAAGCGGACGGTGGTGGTACACACAGAGGGGTCAATGAGCAAGCGGTCCCAGGGAGACACGTGTGTGAGGCCGAGACGACCGGGTTATTGGGCGAGAATCACCAGGATTCACCACAGCGTCAAGGGGCTTAGTAATGCGCTCTCTTGGTGTTTCGGTCGAAATGACAAATGCGTAGATAACGGGCTCAATTACGCAATGTAGCCGAGGCACTTCACCATCCTCTCTACATCAAAAATTACTCATACAAACAACGGCAGTCGCACTGCACCCTAGCATCGCGAACGAATTTTCATGACGAATTATACACTGAGGAAGTTGATTGGTTATGTGGTAAACTAGTCGCCTAACGTGGGCGGAAAACTAGATAATGGTGAAATGCTCGTTCTCTTGCTATTGGCACGGAAGTTTGGCCGCGCTCGATTGCAGTGACAGACCGGTTAATTTCATTGCTGTTGCCCGATTGGCAGGTCATAGCTTTGACCCCAGCTACTCAATCTCAGAGCAGGGACAAAGAAGTCAGCTAGTGTGACAATGGTGGCCTGTACTCAACTGTGTTCTGATTAATGAATAAGAAACATTGGCGCCACTTTTGTCATAATATCGCACATATGCTGTGCAGATTCACATTTCTTTTAAACGAACAAGGTTTAAATACCACAGTTCCAAGTGAACACGTGTGGTTGCCGACGTAGACAAGCACTTGTCCAGTGTGCAGTTTGTCCACCCAGCAAGATCTACAGCGTTCTCTGTGTAATCTGTTGCCAGTTATCCCGACAACTCCTTCCACAGACCTCCTGGAGTGTGCTCATTGCATTTTATAAGAAAAAACTTGAGGACTTACACACGCATAATTACGCGCTAGCTAATAGCGTAGGTGTTTTACCATTCAGGTTATAAAACTTGACCACTGGCGTGTGTGGGAACATTGTTTCTGCCTCGTAAAATCACTCACTGGCCTCTACAGTGCAATAATCTTTTTTCAATTTTTTACACCCTGCTTCTGAGGTTCATTTTAATACTTATAAATCCTTTGGCGCAAACAACCTTGCTAGTCGAGAATGAGCAATCGCGGTCTTAGCTTCCTGGGTAAATTTGCTTTCCTGAATTGTTATCGCACTTAATTTTGAAAAACTTTTGTCAAATAACTTTCACCAACTGCTTAGACCATCCTCACGTCAAGTGCATAGACTGTAATCGTAGAACACAGCTTCGGAGACAACGAATTTTCAGGGCATGATATAAAATCGCAACCTCCACTGACCCTAGAAATCGTAGACGTGGTAATTCAGCCTCTTGGTATTCTGCTTAAGTAACAAAGGCCGAAAGAGCACCCGACGTCCCATTTATAGGAATATGGTTCCAATAAATATCACAGTTTGAATTCAGCGGTCCGTCTGGGTCGGTAACGTGACAGTAACTTAAAGAGCATGCGAGTTCTTCGCATTTTATCTTCCTACACGACTGATTGCCTCCATCTCTAATTGTTTAAATTGTATCCCTGCATGACTAAGCACGAAGCCAGCTTTACCGTTACCTTCCATTACCTGTGGATCACTTACGTCTAAATGGCGAACGAGACAAACACGATAGTTTCGGAACGTTTTTTGCAAGCATTATCACACACTGTCACGATCAGTGAAGGCGTTTGTTCTGTCATGTCGAGGATTAATTAGATGGTAAACATTCTTTTAGCTACCAAGGTGACTTTACTAAAAATTTCAAATGGTAAAACTTTTTTTCACATTTCTTGGTATAAAACGAATACAGAAAAATCAGGCATCATCGTTGTGTTTCATCTACTCTAAAAGCTAATGTCAGTTATGTTCAGTTGTCCATCCAGCTGGCAATAGTACATAACGGAATCAATAGCACGGACCCCTGGCAAATATTCCATAATTAAAAAATTAAACAGTTTCTGCTGCTGAAATTTACCAAATACTTTACCTGAGGATCGGTTGCGTCTAAATGACGGATGCGTAAACCACGGCAGTTCGGAAATGTTTACATTTTACGTTTTTTTGACAAAATCTCAATCAAATTCGTTCAATCTATTTTAAGGATGTCTCCTCTTTCTAGTACCGACTTTTGACTGCTTTATACATGTTTATCAACATCAACACTCTTACGATGACCAATTAGTTCATTTAATTATCTATGATCGAAATGCTTATTCAATTACCCGGAACCTTCGTCATTTGTAAAGTTCTTACAGCGATCCATTGTGTCCCGTACAAATACAGTTTCTGTTCGCCTGTGCGATCATGACTGCTCAATGGATCCATCGGTTTTATCATAATGTCATCAGGATTATTGTTGCTAAATTTGCCAAAAACGCACCTAGTTTTAATTTCTGCGATCACCTTTTCATAACAGGATCGACCTGCCATTCCTCAAATTAAAACTCCAGACGAATCTGCAGAAACATCATTAGGGTGCCTATGGTGCACGCTGCTACCAAACTATTAATTGCATTTGAACCAAAGTTCTAATTGGGCATTTGACCACGTTGGTGAAGGCATTTGTGAAAAAGTAAGACCACTTCTGTGAGTGGACGAGTTCTTTCCAGTCATACTGACGGTGTTCGCATGCTCCAAATACTCTGCCCCTACCAAACCGCACGTAATTAACCTCACATGACGCCGAGTTCACATGTTACTGGTCGTGTATATTAAACACGCCACAACCATTTCTCCATAGACCGAAACGCGTGGCAGTTACACACGAATTACGGTACTCGGCGTTATAACCTATTTAAGAAAGTGAGAGTAGGTATTATACGTTAGATTCAGGTGCTTAGGTGCTGTCAACACGAGCAGATATAATCCAAGGGCAAGCTAGCATTGTTTCCTTGAAAACAGTTGCCTACTCCTGCAGCAGCCACCAATGGAGCGTCGAGTAGCACTTTGTATGCATGCACGCGAGTTTGCGAGAATCTGATTTGCTGGTTCTGCTGACACCGCATTTCCTTTAGATAACGTGAATAAAACTGATGATCCTGGATACGCTGAGGCACAGCAACGAATTGGCACCGAAATGGGGCGTCTACCAGTCTTCATTGGTAGATATATTGGACCCGTAATAAAGCTGATCCTTTTGGCTTCAATCGTGGTGGATACCGGATATTTATTATATGAATATCGAGTGAAAACACATGTGATCCCATTCCTGTCGTCAAGATTTACGACTCATAGAGTTAACGGAAGTCCTCGTGATTGCGAGAATGGCAGTTGGTGGTTCCATCCCTCCGGGTCGGGACACCAGCCCTGGCAACACATCCTGCAGGAAGAAATCGCATTTCCAATCGCGTACACTATCATGGCCTTCGAGAGACCAGATCAGGTGAGTGAATTGTGGATGAGTTGCCCTCATTTGATCTTGGCGAAGAACATCCATTGAACAGTTGGTTCGTGCCCTTGCAAGACAATCAGGTATGCCGTAGACAAACTAGACATTGGTGATTTAAACAGATCACTTAAGCAGGTATTCTGGGATTTAGCATAAAAACAAGAAGTGATTACATGGCGTTGAATATAATGTCGCCTACCATACTGATTGTACTAATGCTGTAAAACCAAATAGTAAATAGCTAAGATCGCTTACGTAAAATTGGAAAGAAAGTATCATAACATTTTAATTGCACAAAATGGTAGAGGTGGAATGTGAACACATTGTGGTGCGTGGACTGGTGTTTGCTTCTCTCTCGTGTTCACCCAGAATCTAGGGGAGTGCAGAGCGTGCTATTTTTTCGCACAAACCACTGAACAAACAGTGATGTAAAAGCACTCAACTCGAGTTACCATAAAGGCATGTACACCTCCCCACACTTAATCTCTTCTGACCGTTCCGTTATTTGCACATTAACGAATTCACCAACACCAGTGCTCAATATATATAAATTAGGCATAAACTGCCGTCAGCGCAAGCGATCTCTGGTCTTCGACTTGTCGTTTTGGGTAAGTAAGTAACGTAAAGCGACCAAATTCAGCTCAGCAGCTCCGGTGTGATACAAGACCACAGGCTTGGAACCCCAACAAGAGTACCTAGAGAACACGTCCTAGAGTTTGCGAATTTGCAGGTATACCAATTGAAACCCGGTAAGGCAAATCCACTCAACTGAAGTCACAATAATAAGCGCAGGAATTCTGCGTGTTTTTTTTTTACCTGTGTCATCCTTCGGAGTGTGAATAGCACTGACCTGTTGTAGGTAGAAGACTGGTTATCTATCAGTCAGTATCATTGACACACCAGCGACCCACAAGTTGTGTTGCGTGTTGTGTGTTTCGTTAGTTCTGTCTCAGGGCTCGGAATGAGGTCTCAAGCCACTCAAAGTAGGCCATAACTGACGTGGTTGGTGACCAATGGAATCAGCGTGATCTAGTTAAACTACACAACTGTCTGATTGGTCAGATGAATGAAACGAGTAGTCGGGGTGGCACCTGCACAGGGGTGGGTGAGCAGACGGTCCCTCATCACTGACGCGTTCACTGTGAAAGGGGCGCAGTGAGTCGGAGAGTGCGGTGGGGCGCCACGATTCACTACAGTTCTGTCAATAAAATTCAAGTTACTTAATTGCTAAGTTAGCATATGTTAGCGTGATTCTTCAACACCCAACGTAAACGCAGAATCCCTCTGAAAACAATATCCTTTTCTTCAAATTGACTTCACTTTATTCCTTTCGAGCCATCAAGCATGTGTGAACTTTGCATAAGGTAGGTGGTAAGCAGTGCTTCGAATCGGCAATCAGTCTTAGCACACATTGTGACCAGGAGTTTAGATGACTGCCCAATAATCCGAAACGATTAGTGTTCAGGTGAAGATTATTAGTGGCAGTAATTTTGGCAGCCAGATCCACTGGCAGACCAGGTGCACACTGAAACGCCGTGCCCATAATTGGACACCATTGTGCGGTAGCCCTAAAACTCGATCGACCCATCTAACCATCTAACCGAAACTGGTGTTGTTGTGTCGTGTGTGGGGTTTGCGCGGGTGCATTTATACCTCGAATGTGTAAGTCATACATGCGCTAACATCGAGACCTATGCGTGAGGTTAGTCCAAGATAGATTTCGTGTGAATGAAGGGGGAGTTGAGGTTTCGCGCGGCTGGCAACATGCTGCGACAAGGGAACCCTGTGTAGGAGGTGGAGCGACCGGGTTGAATAAACACGATTCACAGCAAGCCAAAGTCCAAGTGCTCGTTCACTGGCTCACACCTACTTTAATGGTGTGAGCGACAATGACTGGGCCAGTGGGAAGGTGGCAGTCGAAATGAATACAAAACCGGCGGGAGTACTCACGAATAAATACGGGAAATAAAACCGTCCTCAGAATATCGAAGAACTGTCTTGGGGAAGCCGAATCCCTAAGACGGATGCCAGACTTGAGCCGACATTGCCATGCTATACGAGATTCTTTAAGACATTTGCAAATGGTGCATTGCGGTTAAAAATGATCTATAAGGCAAACCTGTAGTGAATCGTACTGATTCACCTTCAGTAACCCGGTGGTTACATCCTCCGCCACACTGACCTTCTTTCCACAGCGCCCCTATCGATCTCCCTAAACCATCCTCTCAGATAGAACCATGTGCGTGCGATAAGTCATAGTCTCTTAATTACATTAACACGTCCTAAAAAGGGCCTATAATCATGCAGATTAGTCGACTATCCTTACGCCTGCCCCATGTATTTGCCCGAATCCAATGCTTTTGCTAGCATCGCAAAACATCCGAAGGTGACATAATGTTCCCACTTCTCCTGGGATTCTGAGAGGTCGCTCTGCATTGGACTACTGTGACACACTTTTTTGGGTCGATTTAATGTTTCAATAATGGGATTTGACCTCTTAAGTGGTGTCTGTGTGACATGAAAGTGCAGACGTTTATACACAACGTCGTCCTGTTCAACTGACTCAGATCGATCAATGATCAGCATTGCCTCATTGTGGAATGCCGTTGCAATGTCACTAATTTGCTAAACATGAGTGAACTTGTACACCTAGCGTTTGAGGAATGTGTCATCATTTCACATGATTTTCAATGCCATTTTCATTGAAAGTAGTTAATGGCTTCCTCCACTTTCCTTGTGTGGATGCAAAGGAGATTTCACTGAGCTCGTGTCGTGGTTCTTCCAGGTGTGGCGCCTGCTTCGTGCAATCTACAGGCCGCACAATTTCTACTGTGTGCACTTTGACCAAAAGAGCCCTCTCCTCTACAAGAAGTGGTTGCGACAGAAAATTGAGACATGCATTCCTTCACAAGTGTCGAACAACATCGTCTTTATTCCCTCCATATCAGTTTACCATTCCTACATGTCGGTGCTGGAGGCGGACTTGGCCTGCATGCGTGCTCTCTGGCAATTGCCGAGGAAGAATGTGACGAGTGAGCCACCGTGGAAGTACCTAATAAA